GTAAAATTGGAGAGATGTTTGACATGCTAAATATTGCCAATCAAAAACATGGACAGTTATACTTAGGGTACAAGAATAATGACTTATTCGACCAAGAAGACTAAATAAGGAATCAAGGAGGTAACAAAAAAGAATCTAGTACATTTCTTTTGTTAAACTATCTAAGTTTATTGTGAAATGATTAGGAACTGTAATATTGCTATTTTGTGTCGGGGTGTATTATGGACTGTGTTAAGGATCCCGATATAAAACATGCGAAAAGTGTTAAAAGTGGTCATTGCCTTTCGGGGCGGATTGTACATCAATAAGCAGGAGCGGTACAATGGCAATAGGCATGAGATAAATATGAGAAGGATCTGTCATAGGACTTTTATATAGAGATGAACATGTACACGTCGTTTATGTACACATAGAAGGCTCTCATTTACACAGTATGCGGAGAAGGACTAAGAAATTTTTCGAAAACTTGAAATTACAGGCGAGCATGAAGATTCGAATCCATCGTTGTGCATTTTCTAACCCTATTATTTCCCTAAATCAATCACTGAAGAATGAATTCAATTCGCCTGAATGAACATGAATTTTGCCTATTCTTTTTGTAATGGACTTCACGAATAACGACGTAAGATTGAATATATAATTGTAGAACCTAATATAGGGATTTGATAGACTTCTATATGTACATTCGAGCCATTCATAGGAACATCCATATAGACCCCTTGCAGTTCATGGGAATGCAGCCACAACTGGAGGACAAAACAATGGATTCTAGTTCCCAAGAGGATAAAAATCTTTTGTTTTGCCCTCCAGATGAAGCTGCTTTGACGTCACATGCAAGGGGTCTATATGGAAGTCATACGACTGATTTCTACTAAGAAATATACCTTCCATGTTACTTCAATGCTTCTTGATGACTTTGGTGTTGCAGATACATCTGATGGTTTTCCTTCTGGTACTGTAGATATCAATATTATATACCATTAGCAACTATATCAGTGATAGAATTTAACATTAGATGAAGACGTTGTGCATCATTCAACTACTAACAGTCCCACGAGCGATCCAAAAGAAGTGTTCTTCAAGAGCTGTTTTTGGTGTATGTGCACTGCATGACAAGAAAGGTTTGAATTTAGCCCGAAGTCTGATTGCTTATTTGCGGGACAAGAAGATGTGAATTTTGAGGTTAGAAGGCTTCAAGATAAAGTCAGACACAAAAGGTAAATTCAAATCTCTGCAATCTAGCATATAGTGAATGCGACCATTCACTTGAATCTTCACTTGAAGTGAACGTCCATTATTTATGCAATCTTTTTCTACTTATTTATCTACTATTCACCATCCTCTTTTGTGGTTGCTGTTGCGATG